AGTCACTGAGACATGGAATCAACCCACATGTCCACAAACAGATGACTGCATTGAAAAAGTATGGCAAATGTACACTATGGAACACTACACAGCCATAAAAAACAATGAGACCATGGTATTTGGTAGAAAGTGGGTGAATATGGAAGATTTAATGCTAAGTGAAGCAAGCTAGACTATGAAAGAGAAGCATTGTATGTCCCCACATACCATGTATCAAATGTCTTCAATCTATGGCAGAAACTGAAAGATTGAAAGTTATAAAGGCTAGAGACAGTGTGGAAAGAGAGTGGGTAGTAGAGGATGGCAAGGAGGAAATTGGGAAAAATTAAAAAAAAAAAAGAAAAGAAAAAGAAAAGCCAAACATTTAACAGACACAAAAAAGTAAAACTATGTGTTAAGGATGATGTGTATGGTAATATCTTTGACTGGCCTAATGTGCAGTATATTCACGCTGGAAAGTTTCATTTTGTATGTTGCAAAGATGTATGGTGATGAAATGTAAGTAAAACAACAACAAAAAAAAACCAATAATTTTTGAAACTGAAAAAAATCAGAAAGTTTCAACTTAGCCAGTTTTGCATAATCAGAGAACCTGCTATGGAGAACTAAATCTTTTGACTGGCCTTATGTGAAAGGCATTTAGTATAGGTATATAAATAGCTTGTAGAGCCAGTCAAAAGCAACTTTCAGAAATGTTCCCAAAGTCGGGACAAGCAGTTAGCATAATGGCTATGTCGCTGAACTCCCATGCAGTGGACTGCAGTTCAAGTCCTGGACCCAGTAGCTTAAACTCAGGCCAGGCGCGTGTGCCTGCATGCCCAAGATCCCGAGAAGAGAATGGAGGAGAAGGGATTGCGGCGTGGCCATCCCCCTTGGGGAGTGATTTCTTGCTTTCTGTCTCTCTGTCTCTCTCTGTCTCTCTGGCGAGCTCACACGTCCTGTAGCAAAAACCTCTCCAAAAAAAAAGAAAAAAAAAGAAATGTTCCCAAAGCCATATCATAGGCTGCATGACGATTGCTGATTTTGCCTTAGTCAGAAAGCTGAGGAAGGAGGAACCTGCCCGGTGCTGCTATCGCCCCTTACAGTCTCTTATCAGTGTACTAACAAAACAATGCAAAATGTAGGAACCAGACTTTTAAAAATGCCTCCAAGATCATGCCGCACAGTGCTCCACGTTTACATACACCTAATTGATACAATCTAGTCACGTTCAGACCTAGTTGCATTTTAAGATCTTAGCATGTCAGTTCTTCAGCACAGGAAGACTTCTCAGAAGGATGTTGGATTGTGTTGTTTGAGTCCTTCTGCAGGAATCACCACAAAACTGAGTTCACCGTGATGCTGGTGGATATTCACCAAGGAGTCACCTTTTACTGCCTCACAAGCAATGCTAGCTACATATATTTGGGCACTCCCAGAGCCTCAACCCCCCCACTTCCTTTTATCAAATTAAAAGTAATGATATTCTCTTCTAGGGTTTTTGGAAATTAAGATAAATATGCCAGATGCCTGGCACATGGTAGGCATTCAGTAAAGGAGGTATCAGTCAGGAAATGAACACCATTTCACAATTTAAAGAGTGAAGAGAATCCCTGAAGGATAAAGTAGAGCTTATTACTACAGAGATTCAGCAGCCTGAATAGATGTGTCCTTTTTTCAGCCACATGGATTTTAGTGGACACATGTGTTATTAGAAACATTGGTGGGATCTGTGTGTATGTGCACATGTGTGTGCTATTTTATTTATTTGTGTTGTTTCTTTCATTTTCTTGAATTTCTTTAATTACAAAAGCAGATCCACCTCCATAGTCTAGTGACTAAGGAAGCCAGATCCCACATGGCTAACCCCAATTTGAGTACTGGCCTTGGAAGTCTGAAAAACTTACACACATATGCTGGCATGTATGTGTATGTGCCCTAAATCTCAACAAGATGGAGAAATGAAGGAGAAGGGATTGTGATGTGACCACACTCCATGGAGGGTGTTTTCTTCTCTCCTTCCCTCTCTTTTTATTTGTCTTTTCTGATGAGTGCATGTGTCCTCTGGCAATTAAAAACAAATTAATGTATGAGTGTAAATGAAAAGAAGGTCCTGCTTTTCAATTTAAGTATTCATATGCATATAAGTGTATGCATAATATAGACTCTTTACTAGTTCTCTTTACAATAGTTGGGTCATATTATATACATGTTTTATACCTTTGTCTATTTATTTACTTACTTGTTTTACTCACTGTCCCTTGGAATGCCACCCATTTTCATCCATGTAGAATGAATGACCTATCAATGGCAGCTGGTTGTTTTGCTTTTATAACATCTGCTCTAACATCTTTCCTTGCACACAAGTGCCTTTGTCTATAGAATACGTCTTTAGAAGTGGAAAAGTTGGTTTAAAGGGTAGATGCAATTTATATTGATAATTTCATTATTTACCAAATGTTTCTCCAAACACTTGTCTCACTTTAAGCTCTTTCCAGTCCTGTACAGACTACATTTGTTACCTATGTCCTCCACAACAGTGTATCATAGACTCTCCTGATTTTTGCCAGTGAGATAGGGGAAGTAAAGATGTGATAGCAGAATAGACCAAGAGGAATCCTGATCAAGGAATATAAGGGAGGTATTAATTGGGAGATAAAAGATGAGAGAAGGTAGAGTTTAAATTTAAATTTAGAAAGGAAACTGGGGACCAGCAGATGGTGTAATGGTTACATCACTGGACTCCCACATAGTTGACCATGGCTCTAATCCCAGACCCTGTGGCTTAAAACACCGGGTGCGTGTGCATGTGTGCCCTAAATCCCAAGAGGAGAATGGTGAAGGGATTACAGTGTGGCCATCCCCCCGGGAGGTGATTTCTCATTTTCTGTCTCTGGCGAGTGCACACATCCTATAACAAAAAAACTCTTCAAAAATAAATAAAAAGAAGGGAAACTAATAATCTCTGATACTACATGCTAGGTAATGATCTGACAAGGTAGTTCACGTGTCATTGCGTTCAATCCTCATACTCACACTGATCAATCAACATTACTATCCCCCTTTGGCCCTGAAACTCAGTCTCTGTCCTCTTCGCCTCCTGTGTCTTTCTCATTTTATAGTTGAGAAAACCAAGGACCAAAAAAGCTAAATGAGTTATCCAAGAATCTAGGCAATTTAAATCAGGGCAAGAGTCCCATTTTCCAGCCCCCTGTATACTACATTAGACCAAATTCCAGTCTGTTCCAAATGAGGCCACCATGCATCTATCTGTATAGGTCTTTGGGATATATTTCACCCACAGTTCGATTTGAATAGTTGAGTGGGCATGATCTTACACACACTGGTATTTTTCATACTGGGGATGATAGGTTCTCTTGGGTTATTCTTCAGATTATTCCATGTTTCTTTCCATGAGAGCTACTCTATTTACCCAAAGAACATTCTTGACAGAAGCTACTCTAAGCTTCTTGGGAGTTTAAGATTTTCTTGCAAAGGATAATGCATCACTCCTGAATTCTATTCTTAATCTTTTAGAATCGTAAAATTGGCCTGTAAATCCTTCCTTGAAATACCCTCAGAGGCTGGGGTTGGGATCTGTGCCCTCTTCCTCCTTGTTTGCTCCTGCTTCAGAGCCCAGAATCTGTGAGATTAGAGGTTTCAGCTGGGATTTCTGCAGTCTCATTCCCCACCTGTTTTCAGAGTTCAGGATTTCTTCTGTATATGTTGGGACAGTTTCCACTTGAGTCAAAAATAGCCCTCAGATTCCTTTCAAATTTTAACTCTAATGAGAAATTACAGCATATAGTCCCAGTGAGAAGTTTTCTAAGTAGCACAGAAATTGAGTGGAATAACAGTTAAGAGCATGATGAAAAGAAGAAGATAAACAATAAACTTTTCCTCTGAAAAAATTAACCTGGCTAATGACTTTTTAAAAAAATTAGGAAAGCCCAACTTTTGAATGAGCTTAATTAAAGAACATTCTGATAATGGTCATTCTTTTAGGACAGAGCCATTCTACAGGAATAGCCACTTAATGTATTCAACTGAAACAAGTGAAGCATTAATGTCAAAGAATGGAATTTGAAGACCGGAGTGATCTTAGGAATTAACTAGCCCAAAGTCTGATTCTATAGAAAAGGGAGACTTAGTAAGTATATGCTGTTTAGCCTTGGTGTCAACAAGAACTGGAACCAAATTATACTATCTTCATGGTTTGGTTCAGTTTCCTGCCTTTTATCATCTGCTGAGAGAATGTGGTGGTGATTTGTTTTCCTAAAGTAGACAGCAACTTATTTTCAAAGGTACCCTAAAGAAACCTAACTGTTCTTAACTAAATAAGGGGTATATAAACAAAAAGACTAAAATGTTAAAGAAATGGGTAAGATAAAGTCAATGGAACCATTTTTGCACAGGAAGTTTAGCTGGTAGGATGTTTTTGGTTTTGTTTTAGAAATTGTTTTTACACTTTTGATTTTGCAGTAAATGAATGAAGGCTATGTATCTATACTGCCTACTGAAGTCAGGAAACGAACTAAGTAGTGTTATCTTTGTGAATGATCAACGCTTTAAATGTATTTTAAATTAACTATATAAATAATCTAACAAGGTCTTTCATTGTACATTTCTCAGAGCAAACAAAATGCAATATGTTTTTATAACCAGATAGCTATTTGATTTTTCCCCCTCTTTCCCACATTTGGATATAGATTGATATAGAATTACTTAAAATGCTGCATATAAATTAAACATTAAAAGAGAGATATGGAGAGGCTAAGCTGCCCCATTATAATCTTGAGTTCTGCAGTCACTGGCTCAAGGACACTCCATTTCATATCACATGTCTTTCTTTTGAAAAGTGATCAACAAGGTTCAAGTAACATTTGAGCAGAGTAGGCAACTGCATAATTTATGGACCTTTTTTGTTTTGTGTTCTTATTAATGAAAACCAGAAAATACAGGACTATTTTCATACATTAATGTCTTTCTTTTCTTCTTTCCCTCCCACCCTGACTTTGCAGATAGGGGCCTTGAAGGATTACTACCATTTCTACCATAGCAGGACGATTAAAAGGTCAGTTCTCTCCAGCAGAGGAACCCACAGCTTCATTTCAATGGAACCAAAGGTAAGAAGAACCAGTTGGATGGGGCCCAAGAGACAAATCTCTTGCATTTTTCATTGGTGATAACACTAGGAGTGGATGACCAGCAGGAAGGCTCACATTTCTAGAGCTGTCATACTATCCTTTGGACCAGTGTTTGTGCTTCCTCTTCAAACAAAAATGGTGTTAGGCTGCATTTTGAGTGATGTGCCACTGTCATTTCAGTTGTATCGGTCCACGGGTATTCATAGATATAGATTCCCATGGAGAAATGAAGGGATATGAAGTGGAGAAGACTGAGGTAGATCAGGAACAACTGAAGTGTTAAAAATACTATACTACTCACCTATTTGTAGACAGACTGGATTTTTTTTTTTTTTAAGAGAGATTTTTGCTTTAGGGTGTGTGGGCTCGCCAGACAGACAGAGAGAGACAGAGAGATAGAAAGCAGGAAATCACCCCCCAGGGGGGATGGCCATGCCACAATCCTTTCTCCTCCATCCTCCTCTCAGAACTTTGGGCACGCATGTACATGCACCCAGTTTGAGTTTCAAGCTTTTGGGTCTGGAACTCGAACTGCAGTCAGCGATGTGGGAGTCCGGTAATGTAATCATTACGCCATCTGCTGGTCTCCAGATTTGAAGTTTTATGAGCTATTTAGTAGGAAGAATTTCTTCTAGAACCCCTTAGGTCAGATCTTGAGTCACCATGAGTCCTCATGATTCTTCTAAGTGTTGACAGAGACATATCTCTGACAGTCCAAGGACTAGACTATGTCTGGGAAAGAAAAGCTACTATGCACAGGAGGGGTACAGGCTGGCTCCTGCTTTGGAGGACTCATCAGGTATCTTTCTCTCACCAAGTCTTTTCAGGTGGTAGAGACAATATACTCCAGGGAGAGCCTAGAAGAAAGGTGATATGAAAGGTTCTCTGATTTTAGAGAGGTAGGGCAGCTTTGGAAATGGGAGATGGGAAGCTGAGGGATGCTGTGGACAAACTAATAACAGATAACTAAGGCTCTGAGATCAAGTTAAATATCCGTTCTTAGTAATTAAGTTGGAGGAAGGAACCGACTTCTAAGGGAGATCTAATTGGCTTCTGTGATGTGGCAAGTAAAGAGGAAGAGGGCACAGCTGTACCAGCTTGCCCAATTCCTCGGAGGGCTCACTCTGTATTACTTATTTAGTAGGGTGTTTTGGCTCTCCCCCATTATGATTTGGGTTTGCCATATAGCTCATTTTCAAATAAGTGGGTAAACAAGTCCTTACTAATGAGCATAGCAATCCCATCTAGAATGATCTTGTAAATTGTATTCTCTGTTAAAGCAAAAAGGCCCTATTTGAATTAATATGCAAATCAGGTTTGCCATTTGGAGTCCTGCCCTTTGTTACATGCCATGGTTTACCTTATTTAATCTTTTTTTCTGGAATATTATAACAGTGTTCATGATTGTGAAATTGCCTTAGTGGTTAGAGTAAACACATTTCCTCTAGGTCCCAATTTTCCACTGGTCATCAGAACATCATCTCATTCTTGTTGCCCGTGGATTATATATTTTTCACTTCATCTCTATTGAGAATTGGACTTTTCTAAAAAAGCAGTCTGTTGGGACATTCTTGAGGTAGCTACATTTTCAAAGTACAGTCTCATTTGTCAATTGTTAAACAACTTTTTTGAAGCTTTCTTAAACTTCGGTAATTAAAATGATTTCAATTTAAGGGCTCATGTGCAAAGGCAATGTGAATTTGAAAAATGAAGTGATAGTGGGTGGGAAGTAAGAACAGAATATTTAGAGACATTGTTTGCATTATAAAAGACTTACTGACTGTGGAGCTATTTCAGTCTTTACTATTATCTTGGGGCATCCTGGTCTTCATTGCTTATCACAGTGCTTCCAGGTAAGGTATTTCTTCTAGGTATTTCTTGTAGTTCATTCATTCTTTGGCCCCTACTATATGCTGGAGCCTGTGTTAGGCTCTATAGATTTTTGAAGACATAGTGGTTCTCTCAGAGAGATCACTGTCAAGCTCCCTCAGGAGCTTTTAGGGGAAAGCCAGGTTATTCTAGTGCTTCTTAGTGTTGGGTGTAGGGGAAGCAAAGGAGATGGGAGTCTGCTATGTTCTTCCATCTACTCCATTTTCCTATTCAAAAAACTTATGCCCCTATACACACACACACACACACACACACACACACATATATTTTTTGATTAAAAAAATTTATTTAGGGGTCAACAGATGGTGTAACGGTTACATCACTGGACTCTCACATGGCTGACCATGGTTCAAGTCCCAGACGCAGTGGCTTCAAATTCATGCCGGGTGCATGCCCCTGAGAGAATGGAGGGGAAGAGATTGCAGTGTGGCCATCTCCCATGGGGGGGTGATTTCTTGCTTTCTGTCTCTCTGTCTCTCTCTGTTTCTCCAGCGAGCGCATGCTTCCTATAGCAAAATCTCTCATATATATTTGTGTGTGTGTATACACACACACACAAAGTGTGTGTGTATGCATACAAACATACACATATATAGCTATAGATATAGATATAGAGAGAGAAGTTGCAAAAATGTTTGGAAGAATTTCTATATATTCTATCCAGATTCCTCAAAAGTTAACGTTTTACAGTGTAACATACTTATTTGATCATGTTTCTCTATGTAACACACACATATGTATGTATTCACGTGTACATATAGACGTTTTTCCTGAACATTTGGGAGCAAGTTATAGACATGATGCTCTTTCTACCCTATGTATTTGTTTAAGTAATAATCTACTTCATAACCATGAGTATAATAATAAATATCTGGATATTAACATTGATGCGATATTATCTAAAAAACAGAATCTATTTTTAGTTGTCTCTTTTCTGGGTCAAGATCACATTTCATTGTCATGTGTTTTTGTTTTTTTGCTTTTTTTTTAAAACTTGTTGTATGGAGTGTGCATTCATCAGAAAAAAGAGAAAGAGAGAGACAGAAAGCACCCCTTATAGGGGATGGTCATGCCATGGTCTCTTCACTTTCATTCTCCTTTTGGGATTTTGGGGATGCATGCACACGCACCCAGCATATTTTTCAAGCCACTGTGTCCAGGATTTTAATGATGCAGTTGGCCACATTGGATCCAGCTGCCTTTACCACCATTCTACCAACTGGCCCTAGTTGTCATGTTTTACAAATTTCCTTTATCATACTTCTTTACATTTTTTCTTCTTTCATGAGTAAAAGTTTTTAAAGTGTATTTATTTTTTCCACGAGTAAAGGACAGAGACTCTGAGAGCATCCCCAACAGGTCTTAGTGTTGCGATCCACCCTGAGCCTCAGCCAGCTCTGAATGGTGGTCATGTACAGACCTGATATATTTAGGGTGGTCTCCAGATGCAAACCTGGAATTTTCCTTTGTGAGTCAGCCTCACAGTGTTGTGATCTACCACCATGCTGCCCTCTGACCCCCGACATGAACTAGAAATTTTTGAAGAGTACTGGCCAGTAATTGTGTAGAGTATTTTCTATGTTGATTGTCTGTTTTCTCCTGCTTAGCTTCAGGTTGGTCAAAAATACCAGAGAACTGAAGTGTTCTCAATGCATGGGTTCCGGAGGCACATGAGGCTGAATTATTTCATTCCCTACGAAATACTGATCACATGATTCAGATGGTATTTTCCAGGCTTCTTTGCTTTTACATTTCTGCTTTCCCTCTTCCTCCTTAATAAGTGTTGTGTGAGACGATGCTTAGAAACTTTGTAAAATTCCTTGAGCTTATTTTGTATTTTTCCCTCCCTGCCCACCTCATTAGAAGTATAAAGAAGTGTTGGTGTACCTTGCTTTCTTAGGGAGCCCTCTTTATTCTAGTCTTGGGTGTGTGCATGGTGGGTGATTTGTAAGCCAGAGAGGAGGCACATTCATGGGTTTGGGTCATGAGAGATAGCTTCATGGAACACTTTGATGATGTGCCCTTAACCTTATTTTCAATCAGCACCTTCTCTACACAGGGAAAACTTGTGAGTGAATTGCAAGGCGTATGCATACTAAACAGATCTTGGCTTTTACTTGATGTAGTAAGCTGCATGGATGCTGCTTCTTTGTTCCTCTGCTTTTGTTTTTACTTGGAGAGGTCCGGAGGAAGGAAGTGAAAAGTAGCAACATTATAAGATTAACCATCTTAGTGGTAAGAAAATGCTGTGGTCATTGGGGCACATGAACCTGGAGAACAAGAATAGCCTTGATTCCCATGTGTTAACATTATGTTATGACTAACTTTTTAAATGACAGGGATCCACAGACATCTAAGATAGCAGTACTAGGACAGTACTAACAGTTTTGCAGGAAGTGCCAGTACATATTACAGCAGTTGAGCCAATAAGTCTTCCATCTTGTCCCTATCTTTCTTGTTCCCTTTTTTTTTTTTTGGTTCAGGAGACTTACGCTAGTTGTCAGGAACCATAGTTTGAGTTCACATTCTCAAAGCCTCTTACTATTCTGTTTATAAATATTTGCCAGCCACAGACATTTATCAGGGTGGGTTTTATCTGAAAAACTTTTTTTTTCTTTTTCTTTTTGTGGGCTACAGGGCATGTGCACTCACCCAAGAGAGGCAAAGAGAGAGAGAGACAGAGAGGAAGAGAGAAATCATCCCCCTGAGGGGATGGCCACACTGCTGTCTGTTCTCTTGTCACCTCTTGGGATTTTGGGCATACACGCACATGGCCCAGAGTAATTTTCAAGGCACCAGGTCCAGAACTCAAACTGCATAACTGGCCTCATGGGATCTAGTGCCTTAACCTCCATGCCACCTTCTGGCCCTGAAGGAGCTCTTATGGATAGAAGCCCTTTATGTGCTCTCCAGCTACTGGAGCAGTGAACAGGTGGCAAATATGAAGGGGCATGGGAAATCATTTTCTTTTATTTTCCTTCTCCTTATCTAGAAACAAAAAAACCTAAAATCCTAAATCTCTATGAGAGTAAGACATATGTGACTTTTTAAAAATAAAAACTGGGCTGGTCCAGTGGCCTAGTGGTTAA